GGCAAATAACAATAACAACAACATATTTGAATAGCATTCACAGTTTTGCTAAGAGCCTTCCCCATACATTATGTCTCTGATCTCTTTCACCTGAGGCCTAAGTGACTTCCTTTCTCCATTAAACTAGACTGAAACTGTGGTGCAGGTTTGGGGGTGGAGGGCTGAACCTGGCAGTGATTACTGTTAAATGATAAAATAGGGGCCTGAGAGAAGCAGTAGAATGTTCACTACTGAGCATTTTTCAAAATAGGGCAATCTTCTCAGTTCAGGCGGGTTTGAGTTGAGCTACCTGAGAACTGGGGTGAAACAGATGGCTTTTCCATGCCTGTTTCACCTTAAAATCTGATGAACTCGCAATCTCTGGTGGAATTTGCTGCAACTGTGTAACACTGGTTCACATCAAAATGGTAAAACTGAACTCGTGTAAATTCACTGTAATTTTCCACTTGCTGCCAATGCAATGTTAAAACAGTGGTTTTAGTTCCTGTGATTGTGAATAATGTAGGTGCCTTTGCCAAAGCAGAGAAACTTCAAGTAGGAACTAATTTGGGGGGGAGGGGGGATCCCATTCGGATAGTACATAATGTCGTGTGGAGTGGGTGTGATTCCTGCCATCTCATAATGAGTTTTGAGTCATTAAGAATCCATCCTGTGCTGGACTGCTACCCATCCAAATATCCTTAAGAACAGCATTTTCTTCATTGAAAGTAGCTCTGATGGCATAATTTAAAAGTTAAAAGCATTCAACTGCTAACTAAAAGATTGGTGGTTTGAACCCACCAGTGGCTCCACTGAAGAAAGATGAAGCAGTCTGCTCCTAAAGACTGCCAGCCTTCGAACCCTGTGCAGCAGTCCTACTCTGTCCTATAGGGTCACTATGAGTCAGAATTGACTTGATGGTAATGGGTGTGTTTTTTGGTTTCTTAATTGAAATATGCTAGCACAGGCTATACAGCACACACTACAATAGAAAGTATGGGAAAATATTTTTAAAAGTCTATTTACAATACATAAACTAACAGAGAAAGCAATTTAAAGCTTTTTCTCAAGATAAAAATCACCCTTTTGTACTCCCCACTTACACCTCCATAATATAAACCAGATATTATAAAAAAGCAAGTATTTTATACCTAAATATAGCCTGTCAATAAAAATCAAACAACAGAGTAACATGGTAATCTGACCTAGCTTCATCTTAAAATCTATGCCTTCGCTAATCATATGAAGAGGAAAGCTGCTACAGTAATTAGGATTTGTTTCTTGATTGCCTCCAGACAAGTGATTAAATAAGAACTGAGAAAGACTAGAGACTCAGTGACTCTTTGGGACAGAGTAGAACTGCCCATAAGGTTTCCAAGGCTGTCAATCTTTATAGAAGGTGACTGCCACATCTTTTTCTTGTGGAGTGGCTGGCAGGTTTACACTGTTGGCCTTTTAGTTGGCAGCTGAGCACTTTAACCACTGCACCACAGGGCTCCTCAACCTCAACAGCAGACCATCACTATAAAGGCTGGCACAGGCTCTGAAGCAGTCTACCTCTCCACCCATTCCACCAGGTGTTGGCAGACTGAGTTATCATTTAACCACAGATCAGTGGTTCTTAAACCTGGCCATTCTATAGTTTTGGTGAAAATAAACCAAAAAAGATGACATCTGGGTCTTTTATTAAATATTTAATGTTTAAATTTTCTGGAAGCACCTCAGGTGATTGTTCCAATTTGCAGCCATGGCTGAGACTTACTGCCACAGATAGACTGTCTTTGAATCAGTCATGTCCTTATCTAACATCTACACATTTTTAGTGTAGGATGTCAGCCCTAAACATGTACTTTTAAAGTAATTAAAACCACTTAAAATACTGTGCTTTTCAATAGATAAAAATAGAAACAACTCTCAAACAGTGCCCCCTTCAACCACTTTAAGCTGCTCTCAAAATGAAATTTGCCTTCAAAATTTTATTTTGCAGGTGGTTAATCTCCCATCAATTATTCAGATGATTAATAAGAATTACAGGCCTTGATATTATGCAGAGCAACACAGGTTATCAGCAGATAATCATTGATGTCATCCCCAATAATTACAGCATGGTTTTGATTAGTCATCAAACTGCTTTCTCCAAGTTTGTATTAATAAATAGAAGTATTTTCTCAAAAATGAGTGAAATATCCCTATTAAAACTCCGAACACTTGGCAATGATTTAAAACTGTTCTCATAGCTGGTTTCTCCTCTGAGGCACTAGTATTTCTAATCTGCATAATCAGTTTTTAAAAGGCCAAGGGAACTTGAAATTGAAAGAAAGACAGCATTTCACCATATTTTCAGACATCTATTTCAATGCTCCCCAACGTCAGCACTTCTATACTAAGGTTGGGGGCAGTGAGGGAGGAGAACACCACAGTGGCAAGGGAACACTTCCAGTGGATTATGCTTCTTGGTTAAAATCACTACAATAGATTCAGTGGTCAAAGTGCTGAGGCTTCAAGCCTACTTCTTTCTAACAAGCCATGAAGAATAATCTTGCTATGTAATTTACAGTCCTAATTCTCAAACGACCCTCAAAACTGCACTTTTTGGATTTTGCTTTTACTGCAACTTCTTAAGTGATGAAGCTCTCTTTTCCTCCTTTGTCAGAGCAAGTGAATCAAGACCAAGGTGGGGTGTTTTGTGTCTTCCTGCCTTTAAAGTTTAATTATGGTCACATTAATGGAGATTCTCAAACACCTGACCCAAAAGACAACTGAAATACAAAGTTCGCCCCTAGACACAAAGATTGCCTATAATTAGGCATGACCTGATGGAAGCACATTTAATTGAAACAAATCTGCCATAGGGGTATTAAGCCCCACACAAACACCTAAATCAGCAAGCACAATGCTTAGGAAAATGGACTGCCTTGAAGACCTGGTTAAGAATAATACCCAATTTAGAAGCTCAGGGAGTTCTGGTGGTGCAGTGCCTAAGGCATATGGACTGCTAACCAGAAGGCTAGCAGTTCAAACCCACCAGCCATTCCTCAGAAAGATTAGGCGATCTACTGCTATAGGGATACTGCCTCGGAAACCCAAGGAGGGGTCGCTATGAGTCGCAACCAGCTTGACAGCAGTGAGTTTGCTTTTGTTTGTTTGTTTAAGAAGCTCAGTGATCTACTGGGGAGTTTACTTTCACCAGAGGCAATCAATTCTAAGTGTTTCCAATCTGATTTCTCCCCAAAGACCTCTACAAACCAAACCCACTGCCATAGAGTTGATTCTGACTCATAGCGACCCTGCAGGACAGAAGAGGACTGCCCCACAAAGTTTCCAAGGCTGTAAATCTTTATGAAGCAGATTGCCTCATCTTTCTCCCACAGAGTGGCTGATGGGTTTGAACCACTGACCTTTTGGTTAGCAGCTGAGCACTTTAACCACTGTGCCACCTGGCTCCGCCAAGGACCGCAGGACTACAGAAATGCAGTCTAAAGATGAAATGCCACCTTCTTACAGGATGGCTAATGGAGAGCTGGCTGATGGACCAATAATAGTGTGAGCATTTAGTGACTCAAGATTCTAACAGGAATACTTTCTCAAATGATTCAGAGGTCCTTCCACTTACAGAAAGTAACATGAGACTCTCCAAGTTCCTGCTCGGGCTCAGCAACTCAACTTTCCTGGTTAACAGGACTTCTCCTAGCCCAGAGCCTGACCATATTGGCACAAATCCATTCGGACTGAACTGAGCACAAACATCTACATGGCCTCAAGAATCACTTTTCACTTCCACTTCCTATACTTACATACCACCTTTCATTCCAAACACACAGCATACTTTAAAAATCTAATGAAGAGGTACTTAAATAACTTCTAAAGAGCAACAATGAGGCTGACTTACAATCTAGCTAAGTATATACAACAGCCCTCAGGAAATGGATAAAAATACACAGGCAAAAAGCTAGTATAAAGAAGGCCCCAGGAACTCAAAAGACCAACTGGGCTGAAAAGAGAACAGAATAAAACACAAATCACAAACCTCAGAGGCAGAAGGTGAGGATGAGGCCATCTGCATATTGACATAGGTAGATCTGCTAATAATGAATAGAAGAGAGAGTGCTGCAGATTAGCAGGCAACTTGTACCAACCCCTAAACTCCTTGTAAAGTTTCCCCAGAAGTTGGGAAGACAGCCAACTGTGGCTTGTGTTTCTGTACTTCCAAGGGCGGTAGCAAAGGAAGCATTACAAAACTGGTTCCATTACACAGACTTCGAAGCAGCTCTCTGGTGGCCTGACCTTGATCACTGTACCGTTTCAAGACTTTTTGTTACTCTTCTCCAAAGACCTGATTCGTCTCTGTACCTTTTCTATTTTAAAGTATCGGTATTTAAAAATAGCAGTATGTTCTCATCTTGGAAAGTTCTTTTCTAACTCCTGCCAACAATAAATGGACCATGATAAGAAGTTAAGGGTAGAACTTTTGAAGAAAGTTCAATTGAACTTTTGGCTGCAGGCAGGTAAACAGTTTAAGAGAAAAGATATAATCCAGGTGTTCACTCTGATACAGTGAGTCCCCATGAAGAGAGGGACTACATACAGTACTGTACACTGAAGATTCAAAAATATGCGCCAAGATGATTCCTTCAAAAGTTGGAAATACAAATACCATTTGACCCAGCCATCCCATTATTAGGTATATACCCTAAAGAAGTGAGAGCCATAACAAGAACAGATATATGCACGCCGATGTTCATCGCAGCACTATTTACAATAGCCAAAACTTGG